TCTAAAATCACTCACTACCTTGGCCGCGCCTCAAAAGCATTGAAGTTTTCAAACATATAAACGGCAAGAAGCAGAAGCTATGGATTTTCAGGTACCGGATATTCGTGGTGCGGGTTTCCTGTCCTACCATTAAGACCCGTTGATGCCCTAGTCCATCATCGTCCAGAATACGGTAACTCGCAGTTAACTTTAAGGATGGAGTTATTTAATTGTGTCAAGTGAATTAATTGCATTGGTGTTGAAAAGTAGTCCTACACACTACAAGAAGTCTACATGCACGTATTGTTGGTACCCATGGAGCCATAGGGTTATGCACTAATGTTCACTGCACACGCCCTGAAGAGATCCAAATGCTAAACTGTGAAAGAAAAAACTCTACACGGATATTTTCCAGGACACCAGCTGTCATGTTAAAAGTCAAATATCGTCACATGAAACCAGGTTCTCCCAGAGATCGAAGTATGCTACGGCGTCCGGTGTCGTATTTGGTTTACCTTTCACGTAATGATTTTGAAATCAGCACGATGCGTCGTTTGTCTGAGACACCATGAAAGGAATTCGTTCGATATAATGGCGAGTTTCGTCACTCACATTCAAACAACCGTCGACAATTAGACCAGTTGCCCTTTTGTATGCTTCTATTCGTCTCCGACAACGTACTTTGACATTCTGTCGTCTTCTCCTACAGCCTCCTACCGTCTTGGTGAAACTGCTCAGCCTCTCGTTTCTGGCTAGTCTAGTGTTTAAGCTCCCATCCCACGGTCTGTCATCCTCATCCACAACGTCTGTTTCTCGAACATTAATGACCATGGATATTTGTTCAATTTACATCTGAAACAGACCCTCACGAGACAGGTTGAATTCCAGAACAGGACCCCTGTATATCGTAAACAGTGTGTTTTAACCAGCTGACAATTCGTTGCTGGAGCGGTACATAAAGCATTTATACCATCAAATATTGATAATAATTGTGCTTGTATTATAAGTGATTAAACGACTACAATTTCAAGAGAAATGCAAATGTGCAATTTGAATATTGTCAGCAGTCCTTCGTGAATTCAGTATGATACAGTATAATTAATGAATCCAAACCTTTTAGATTATCCCATCAAAAGATGGCGTTATTGAAACCACGAGAATGTTTTGATTTCGGAAGTACAATCAACGTGCCCCGGAGGGGCTGTTTCATTCCAATGATGAAATCCACATATGAGACTTAAAAAGCACATGATTGATGCATATGTTCTCTGTCATGTTGCATACAGACTGATAGCTGAGTCAGTTTTACGACACAAAAATACACGTTCAGAATCGCCAGTAAATGGCTGGTACAGAATCAGCTGCACAAACAAGAGCTTGACTCATCATTATAGCTTAATACGGAATACCCCGATCATGTGATACACATTCTCTAGTTTCTGTAGTTACTGTAAAGAGCACTTATCTATGGAGTCATCGTTGAAGGCACTTTGTATTTAGGACTGCAAATAGTGAAGTACTATTTTCAATTGTGTAACGCCTTTGGCGCTCAACATTGATAGCTGCGTAGTTAATCGCAAAAATTCGTAATTCATTGTGGCTAAAACCGGATACCGTATTTTCCGGCCGGGAATTCAGTCTTCATTAAGCTTGTTGAGATTGCCATTGGTTACACCTTAAACAAAATACGATTATTATCTGTTACAACAAAACTGCCCACAAGGAAAATACTTAGTTTCAACTCGTAAACACACAATATATTTCTCTGACTTCAGTTTCCTAATTTGTTATTTAACTATTCGCTCCGTGAAGATTTGCGTGGGGATTATAGTAATCAACGCTTAATTGTCAACGAGTACAATGTTTAACTTCTTTGGGGGGCATTTAGAAGTTGGAGCAGTAAGGAAAGATAACAATATATAGATGAACAACTTTTTTATTACAAATCTCTTCCTCCAGCATTACTGCCAAAAATCCTGGCCAATACAAAACTTACTGAACACAATATACATAATAAATTCACAGTGCAAGAATTCATACACCAAAATTACAATCCACCAGATAATCGTTACATTTATACTGACGGATCCAAGGACCAAAATGGTAATACTAGTTTTGGTATCTACATACCCAAAAAATACCACCCAAATAAAAATAATCAAATACATTTTATCTGGGTCCCGTCACATATCGGAGTCCATGGCAACGAAATGGCAGACCAAGCTGCTCAAAAAACAAAGCAAAAATACCTTACTCCAAAACAGACCTAACAAACAAAGTTAACAAATGTAATAATAAATAAATTCAATTATAACTGGCAAAAATAGGAAAACATTATCTACTCTACCAAATTTAACAAACACTAAATACAAAATGTAAAAACTGTCACCAAACACGCCGAATTGATGTTGCCATAATCAGACTAAGATTAGCAAATTGCAATCTTAATCACTATATACACAAAATCAACCTGCATCCAAACGGCAAATCTATCACTTGCCAACTTCCTGAAACAATAGCTCACACTATCTTTTACTGCTCAAAATATAATAAACAAAGAACCCCATTTACCAATGCTTTAAAACAGTACCTCAATAATGCTAACTCTTCTGATCTCAAGCACTTTCTAACAAACCCCAAATTAACTAAACCACTCATTAAATATCTCATTCATACAAAACTATACCAAACCATCTAGCAACACAAACAATAATACAATATTTCCACTTTTATCATTTTAAAAATTGATACAAATATGTATATATGTTCTTTTAACTTTTCAAATCATCTTTCTCTTTTTAACTTCATTTTTTAACCTTTTATATGTTCACCATTATTCACTTAATAAACATGTTTTAAACATACTTACAAGTTTCTGTCCTCAAACAATAACAATAACAAGAACCATTTATTATACTACATCTATATTTAATTCCAAATCTCTATTACTCTTTACATATTTCATATTTTTCCTTACTTTTTTTAATTCGGCCTTCCATTTAAATTTCCCTTAATACTCCGGTTTTTGTAGTAACACCATTCTTTCAAAATTTCTATTTTTTGTTCCCCCTCATTTCTTATTAAGTGTACTACCCCGTCGCCGAAATACCTTAGTTGTGCATGCGACGCTAAATAAAGTAAATAACTAACTAACTATTGCTGTGAGAGCGACGTTTCTGTGTAGGTTCTAACACTGTTATCAAGCAAGGGATGAGATTGCCACTTCTACATGAAGACGACGAATAACTTCTTTGAGAAGCATTTAGAAGTTGGAGCAGAGGACAATGTTTGTGATGGAAAACAGGTCAATGTTACTTCAGCAGTACTTAAAGACTCAAATTAAGCAATGGACTTGTCTGGTGGCGATTGCCAAGGGAGTGATTCTCTTTACGTACGATACTTTGAAACGAAAACGAGAACTGGTACTTTGGTGCAATAGATGTTAACTAAAGATTTTAATACAATAAGGTACCGCTGTCGACTGAAGTCCAGACTTCAACTTTAGCTAAAAGTAATGTTTAACTCGGGGGTGTGACTGATGGGTGTTTTTGATGGCTGGTACTCCCACGTGTGAAACTATCTCAAGATGGATTAACTTGAAAGGGGACGAAGTGTACCCTTGATATTAATCGAGTCACACGCGCAGTATAATGAGCGAACATTCTACTGCCCTACGGCAGGCCATAGGGGTTATGAGGGTTATAATATTATAACATCAATCATTTGTATACGTTTAAGCAAATGAAAGTGCTCACATAAAATAAAGCAATGGTAATATACTGAAGATTCTTTCGCAATAAAAAGATTATAGAGAAAAAGTACCATCACCGATTCTAGTCAAGTTTGATGGTTCTTGAGTGCAAAGTAATGGAAGGAAAAAGAGATTATGAATGAAATGATATTGATGCTCTTTAGAAAGACTACAAATGACAAAGTCCAAATTGTATCCCAGAGGAAAAAAACTTCGATTTGTGCATCACTACAAGTCTCAGGGGGAAATCGTGTTATTCAGCTGATTTAAACTATCTTCAGGAGACTTCAAGTCGATTTTCATTTGACAGCCCGGATACTCGTTCCAGAAAGGAGGACTTGGTGATTGAAGCAGCGGCTTACTTGCTAATTTCCTGAGTTTGAGAAAGATTTCATGCTGTCGCCGTTCCTCGATGACAGAGGCATGGTGTCATCCATATACACGACAGACCCATCTCTCGAGGGTACAGCCGTGATTAGAGAAGAGTAGCCGACTTGTTGTAGCCCTGATTAGCGTACTATAACGGATGATTCGTGCTTTTCATCCTGTTGTGAAGGATCAGCTGAAAGTGTGTTACTGTCTAATTGCAGAAGCATATACATCATATTTCCAGTCGACATATATTCGGAAACACATCATTAAGTGACATTATTCTGAGTTGTTTCACATGTTATTGATGACTTTCTGTCAGATTTCTGTCATGAGAAATTGGCAGCTATTGAGAACTGGCAACTGTCGTTTCTCGTTATAATTATCACTCTCGTTGTTGTTAATTTAAAACTAGATGAATTGTCCCAAATCTCAAATAAGTCGGAAATCCAAAATACCGGTAAATGCAATATTATTTGACGTAAAATATTATTTCAGTAAAAGTGTCTTTGGTTAAATAATTTTCAAAATATTTGGCACATTGGCAATAAAAACATATCTATTGCTAATTGCCTTCAATCGGTGTCTATGGTGTACAGCTCCTCAAACCACTGTTTCCATGTTACAGTGCCTTTGTTGTTTCATTTTGTTTCAATTGTTACGTCAGACACAAATGAAGTTTTAGCTTTGTTTCGATTTGATCGACTGACAATAAGACCTCAAAATACAGAGAAATCTGATATATTTCGATGCAAGTGTCTATAGCTGAAAATGTCCTATATCGTATCCGGACCTGGTTTCCTGTTCATTGTCCTTGAAGTCTTACAAAACTTCAGACTATGTGGAAATAAATCGATGGCACGGTAACTTGATTTTGATGTATGATCTTTCTATGTTTCAGGTTCTTTGAGACCGAACCAGATATGAAATCGTTGTTCCCTAAAATCGTCCGGATGAATGAGGCGAATCAGCTGGAGTGGGACATGGACAGAGAAATGCTGCAGAAGCATGCCGTGACGGTGATGGAGGGGCTCGGTGCTGCAGTCGAGAGTCTGGAGGACTCTGACTTCCTCAACAGCGTCCTTATATCAATAGTCTGGAGGACTCTGACTTCCTCAACAGCGTCCTTATATCAATAGGGCAGACCCACGTCAAGAGGAGCGTCAAACCCCAGATGTTGAAGGTGAGTGAGTGATCGAGTCTGGACCAGACAATCCAGTGATCAACAGCATGAGCATCGATCTACGAAATTGGGATACGATGACATGTGTAAACCAAGTCAGCCAGCCTGACCACCTGATCCCGTTAGTAGCCTCTTATGACAAGCATGGGTTACTGAAGATCAATTCTAACCCGGATCTTCAACCCGGATGTTGAAGGTAGTGGTATAACAATAATAACAACAGAATCAATAACAACATGGGTTTAGACCCTAGAACTGATGATGAGACTGACCAGTCTGACTATGCCAGGATCACCCGAACCCTCTTGGTTGCATTCATTTACTTTATTCTGTAAAAAATATTAATACATGTAGAAAATTGGCGGCCAAATAAATGAACATTTTCCTGAACATCAAATTGATTTATTAAATGGAATTATGTCTTTGAAACCTTTTTCGGACTGTTCACTGCCTAAAGTTAACTGCAGTGTTTATGCGGCCGTTCGAAATGTGGAGGAACTTCACACAGTTTCCAAATACAAAATCTAATGATGAGAAAAAAACCCCAAAGAAATACCGGTTTCAAGTAAAACTAAGTGAAACAAGAAGCCGCATTTCCTGGATTGAACTGTGCCTTAAATTAAGATCATCAGGGAATCCAATGTCAAGAAGGCCAAAGTCAAATTGGAGACAATTAAAATTGAAATACGAGACAACGAAGGAAAAAATATTTTCCCTAACTGTTGATTCCCTTCCGGCAAAATCAAAGGTTTTATACAGAATGAAAGAAAATACGGGGGAAAATGAATTTGTCAAACAACGTAAAACCTTAAAAAATCATGAAAAGCAATTGTACAGCCAACTCAAGTCAAAGGACGATGGTGATTATGATAAATGATCTCACATGATGGATTCCAAGTTCCTGAAGCAGTTGTGGTCTGCACCGGGCGACTGAAGGTCACATGGATCCGTGGCTACAATCATGCAAAATGATACAGGTATGGCATTTGAATCTGACAAACGCAATACTTTTCTTTTGAAATGTAGGAAGGCAAATGAATGATTGAGTAATTGAGCATCTTTCGTAACATCAGACCTACAATGCAATTTCGAGACAGGTTCCAGAATGCCCAAATTCAAGAAAACTCCAGGTTGAGTATAAATCTCGCTTTAAGAAAATGTGGGGCTAAATGTTCGGAACAAGGTCAGAGCCACAAATACTTTTGTTGTGCCAGTCCTCTCTTATTCATTTAGAGTAGTTGATTGGCAAAAGCAAGACATCCAGAGTCTTGACCACCTCCATGAAAGGATCATCACGTCAAACTCTCTCACTCATACATATACACTCAGTTCGACAGGTCGGAGTAATTTGGCCCTTCGTGATAGAATTTAATTGCGTACCTTTGCACATATATTATGTTATCTGATGGTGATCTTATGAGCCCTTTTGTGGGGCATGGCAATATTCACGATGCAAGCTAGGAATTCCATAGTTAGTTTATGCACGCCAATAATGTTGAAGTGAATATCAACGTTAAGGTAGCTTTTGATGATGGTCATGTTGATGTACGATGGAAAGCAGGTGAACATATTCACCAGGTCTGTCCAGAGTCGATAATTTAAGAGAAAGCTTTGTTGGATATCACTGTATATATGCAGCGTGTGGAACAACATAGATATCCAACTGATCCTTTGCTGGATGAAATCGGGTGGTCTTTAAAGTGAAACAGAGTCTTAAAGAGAGTTTTAACATGAAATTCAGACTGTGTAATGAGTTATCTGAGAATGTTCAACACTTAGTCAGTCCTTCCTTGGCACAGACAATTGATGGTAAACGACACGATGGCATATCTCGTTGTTTCTATTACCGTCATCGTCATGCCTGTGGTTTTGACCCCGAGGTTCACCCAAGGTACGACCTAGAACATGTCCATGGCGTCATGGAAAATGATGCTTTTAAACCTCGTGGGAATAGGCAGTACGCAGATCAGGAGTGTGTCCAGGTTCTCCGTATTTTGTAAGACGCGTTTTCTGTGACGTATATCATGTTCAAAGCGCAAAAATGTTCAAACAAGCTTTGGGGAGAAAAGATGTGTTGTGCGGGAGGTTCTGAAGTAAATGGAGGTTGTAAAATGGAGAGGTTTCAGGGAAGCGTTGTTTCATAGGTAGGCAGCTGCGTAGGTAAAAAGATGTTTGTGGTAGTTTTCCCGCTGAGAATTGATCCCAGCTTGTCTTATAGCGACATAATTGATCAGGTGGCCTGTGGTTGACAGCGTGTCATTTCTCTCAATCACTGGTAATTACTATTATGGGCGCGGGGATTAGGTTGTGTGAACAAAATGCCCTGAAATTGTATCGTCATTATCCCTAAAATTCATATCCCAAGAATTATGTACGATTATGAATTTTCCAAGGTTATCACAATCTGAGTAACCTAAACTTCCCAGCCTGCAGAATTATTGGTGCAACAGAAATGTTAAGGATGCAAACGTGTCCGTGAAGATCCGAGCTAGAATTTGTCTCGTAGGAGGCGACTAACGGGATCGGGTGGTCAGGCTTGGTGACTTAAACGATGCATGCCATTTTCTCCCAATCGCGTCTGGCCAGACTCGATTATTTACAAACCACCGTCATACAACTTGAATATTGCTGTGTGCAATAAACAACATACAAAGGAATAAGATGCAAACCAGATCTAGTTCTAATGCAGCTTTGCATTTCTTACTTTGAGGTCTCAGTGTCAAATACCCAAATTCGACATGTACTTTGTGTTCCCGTGTTCTCTTTGGTGAGCATGAGATTTGCCTTTGCATGTGTTTGTGAATGTTTGAGAGTGATTTTACACATAAGCTTATGGTACTTTTGAGTCATTCAGTGGAGGATTTGGAAGAGATTTCTTATGATTGTGGAACTATTTTGTCGCTACATGTATCTGTTTCACATATCGTATGGCAACATATATCACTTTTGTCTCCAGTTGTGAAATGCATTTGCATGCTTCAGATGTAAACGTGTGAGGCAACGTCGTAGCTAAGTCTCCCTTTTTATCTTTCACCCAATACATGTACATATATATTATTCCCAAATATGAAACAGAGGCACTGATTCTTGTTCATTTATGGAACCAATTACAACCAGCTTCTACAATTCACTTTTACGATTAGATGCAGTGTTTTGAATAATCCGTTTTCATAATTCAGTCTAGGAAAACGATGCCGCCATACATGCCAGGATTAGATGAGAATATGAACCGAGGATAAAATGTGAATGATGTGTGAATAACGAACAAGCTATCTTACTACTTTGTGATCACGCAAGTCGGTCAAGTATCAATGTCTTCACATAAACCATGTCTTACACAGAAAGTTTCAGCCTGATTTCTTTAAAGTGATGAAATATTTAAAATTACAGGACGACCTATACCACGGAGTACGAGCCTGAATAATGCATTTTAGACTTGATCAAAGCAAAATCTGTCTGCTACGAAATGTAACCTGTCTGATGAAAGTGTTCCCCTTTTTATTAAGGCGGGCAAATCAGCGTCCGTTTAAAGGTTCACCTTCCCAACTAGTCGTTCAACATTTTTGATTCATAATCATGCGTAAACTCGTGAAATGGTTGTCGGTCAGACGCCATATTCACAGAGCCCCTTCTGTAAAGGTTTCTGTTATAATATTCGAGATATAAAAGTGTTACGGTAAGATGAAAACACCCAATTACACTGATTTGGTCCCAAAACATTCTGCGTAATGTGTATAATCCTTATGCATGTAGAATACAAAGAAAATCGTATTCAGCTGTTTAGCATATAATAGGATTGACATTTGTATTATGGCATTGAAAATACCAGGAGACAATGCTTCTGTCATCTGTATGACATTGAACAGGAAGTGACAGTCCCTTGTTATCGCCATTCGGGATTCTTTCTTTTGTTTACAATTTAATCCTTGGCAGGTTTCTGAAGTAAACATGAAGCTTGAAAGACAAGGCTATGTCTCATTAACGTGCACTGTTTGCTGAAGCTGGAACTAAAAATACTGGGAAATGTTACTCATGTCTTTTCGCAAAACTCTCGGCTCGGTGGGCTCGGTTTTACGTAGTTATCAGCAATATTCCAGCAATATCTTATGGGGACACCAGAAATGGTCTTCACACCATGTACCTATGTGGGGAATCGTAACGGCGTGACGAGCGCACGCTTTAACCACTGGGCTACACCAGTGCCCCACAACTTAACATATTTAGAAGGTTGGGATTTGCTGTACATGTATATCTAAGATACCAACCCGACTATAGAAAACGCTTTTTAATCTGAGATGACGCCCAGTTGATTGAAAATGTTGTCATATATTTTAATCATGCTACTCTTAAAGAATTAGTTCAAACATCAACACTAGATACTGTACAGTCTCGAGTGCTGCGCATGCTGGATCGGATTCCACAGGTGGTAAAGGGTATATAATGATGTAAAGTATTTAAGTTGACTACTGAAAGTAGTGATGATGCCAGATGAGCCAAGCATATCCCGCTTAACAGGTAGCTTAGACACTTACAAGTTAGATTAAAATAGAAAGTTCCAGTGTGTAGGGATGCGTTCAAGTTTATGGGATAACACCGTTCATCATATTAACAACCTAAGTGTTATATCTACTAAGATCCCGTGAATGTTCACCATTACATTACCGGGGTAGTTTTACCTTTGATTGAAAAAGTTAACAAAATATGTCTTTGAGGAAAAAGTGAATGAAATGTGCACGCTCTGGGAAACATTGGGAAATATTAAACGTCATAAATCTTGAACTGATGCTATTTACTCATCGTTTTGACAATTGGAAAATCGACCCTATTACGCTTGTCCTTCAGTAAGCAGCACCATTAAGAAGGCCTATACCATGTACACATTCAGATAGGACACAGACCTTTTTCTTTGATTCACAACTGTAGCTGTAGCTTCTCAATCAAACATTCAGTCGACTGTCAAGACGCCAGTTATATTATCAGCACCAACTTTGCCCTTTTCA